ATCACTAAAAGACTTATTTATGTAGATAAGAAAAGATATTTTACTTAAAGTACTGGGAATGTACTCTCCTCCTCTTTTAAAAATTTTTTTAAATCTAAACGTTTCAAATTCAGCAATGAAATGTTTGGTTTTTTAAATAAGTCTTAAAAGCATCTCCGCTGATAATTGATTTTCAGAAAAGTAAATATTTGAAAAATGTCAGTCCACGAATTTCATGATTATTAGATCATGAATGACAGCTCTCTCAAATACAGTTGCAACTAGCCGATCATGGTGTACGACTACACATAAGTTTTCTTTGTCATAGTCTAGATAACAATCTATGTGGATGGGTAGACTTTGCAATTCAAATCATAAAATGTTTATCTAGAAAACATTGCTCATTTACAGTAAAGGTAATTATACTGTACGTGTTTTCTCTACTACTAAAATGTTTTGATTGGTCTTATGTCAATCGCTTTATTGGTCTATGCATCGATACAAAAATATAAGTATGTTAATCGCTTGCTATCAGTGGGTACTCAAAATGAAAACGTTAATCGAAGTACTCAACTCGTTAAATAAAAACAATATACAGACAGACCGTCTATGGTAGCATGAAAGTCATAATTTAAACAAAACATTTTTAAAACTTAAATACACTAAAATGTCAAAATGGCATGCTTGTTTCCATGATCACCATGACAACAGATCAAGAATACATAAGATTTTATTCTGTTATTTTAAAACATCCATTTAAGCTCATATTAGTTAGGCTGAAATGTGATCACAACCTAGCATCATTTTGTCTGTGTGTGCAACTATGCCATATCAGATAGTTTACGTTCATTTAAGCAGCATTGAATACTTTCTAAACAAAAGAATACATAGACCAAATGATGGGCATATGCAATCGACTATTTTAAGAAAAACAGTCGTGGAAAAAGTTTTTTCTAATTTGAGCAGTTTTAGTGAATTTAAATCATGATAATTATCTCATTTGAAGCTTGATTCCCTTTGCAGTATGCAATCGCTTTCTAGAATTTTGCGATGAATCAACAGTCTATCTTTTAATTCTGTACTTGGAATATTATTTTACCGCTTTTATGCTCCTCCTATAACGGCTAATTATCAACAAATCATATGTTAAGTGTTATTGGAGAAGGGATTAGTATCCAAACGGACGTGTTTCCTGATACATTATGATATTTTTCCTAATTTCTGATTAAGAGGATTTTAAAAACCATTGGTCAGTCTACTGTACACCTTAGAGGTTAGATTACAAATCACATTCAATTACCATAGAGCGAAGTCGCTAATTAAATTAGTCAGCTAGTAATCGACAGAATTTATAGTTAGAAATCAGATTTTGGTTTTGAGGTTTTGATCATCTGTTTCTAAAGGAAATCATTTTATAATATGGTGTTCAATAAATTTATGGAAGTCATTTGTAAATAGATTAGGTCCGTGAAATTACTGAGTCCAGAAAAGAAACATGAATGTTAAATCAATTCCAGTTTATTTTCTGAATCCAGATAAATTTTAAAATATGTTCAAGCGCGGATCCGCCAAGCAAGAGCTACATTTTTACAACTGAACAACATCTGGAACTCTAAACAGCTGTCAACAACACCAAAATCAGAATTTTCAATACATATGTCAAGACAGTTTTACTGTATGAGGAGGAAACTTTGAGAACCATTAGCGCCATCATCCAGAAGATATGAGTGTTCATTAACAGTTGCCTACACAAAATACTTTGAATCCGTTAGCTACAAACTATCAGCAAAAACCTACTGTTTAGACAAATATTTTCCTCTTACACTGATATGACGGGAGAATAAAAATACTCTCTTCCCTGTGTTATGCTATTAATTTACGATAATATGACCGATGGCTGGGCTTATATTATCACTACACTGGATACTCGGTCGATAGGCTGTACACAGGTTCACCTACTTTATATCATTTACACGTTTTACGAATAAAGTTAGGATCAGAGTATTGGTTAGGAAATACAGGGTGCGAGGCAGTTACCGACGGAAGATAACAATAATAATAAGTTCTGAAAATAATAACTGCAGTATTCATGGTGGTTTATAAGTATGGTCAGCTTACTATAGAAAGAACTGTTTAATTTAGGAGATAGATATATCGTGTTAAATTTTTTCAGGTGTTCTAGTTCGAAAATCGTTTAGGCAGTACATTTTTAAAAATAAGTATTACAGTAATTCAAGGCGTCAGTCAGAAACTATTAACCTTTTCTAACTAGACATTTTTTTTCTGTATAGAAGATGCAATAATTATCGTTTCCAGTGCCATATAGGATTGTTTGAAATCATCTACAGCACGAGAAAATAAAACGGAAACAGTAAGCAAAAAACAACGGAAGCAGTGATAACAATGGTAAGTCAGTCAGGTCTACCAAGTCTACCATGATTCAGGAACAAATATTTTATATTTTAACGTTTGGGTTAGATTCTGTTCAAATTAGTTAGATTTACAGGGGACACTGTTGGTGTAAATTATTTGCAAGAAAACAGACTAATTTGTTGGCTCAATAATAAAAATGACTAAATATTTAGGGTCTTAATAATCTCACTCATGAAAACGGATATGCTTACTGCGGTTATCACACTGAAGGCATTTTCACAGGAGTGATAGGCATCGATTCGGCGAATAAAGGATGAGAGTGATTTTATTTCACCTATCGATTACGGTAAATTATTCTAGAGTTTTGATAATTTAGTGGTAAAATGATACATATACAGGGATTAAGAATGAGATTATATCACTAACGACAAAGAGTTTTGGAAGCCATAACTAGGCGTTTCTGCATATTGAATCATTTCATTGGATATAACAGGTGGATTGCTACCTATTTTGATGAAAAACATCACATTAAGCTTACGTCTCCTATTCTCTAAAGCGTCTATTCCACGTTTATTACATCCGGATTTATAGCTTAAAAACAATCCGTTTCAAGAATGCGAGGTGTAAATCGTCTTTGAACAGATTCCAGCCTTAATTTATCCTTCATAAAAACACTACCAAGAATAAATGTACAGTATTTTAGAAGTGGTCGGACAGAATATGTACGGGATTCATTTTCATAAAGATAACGAATTATGCAACCCATAAGACTTTGAGACCTGGGTGTCTGTTTGGATACCTCTTCACAGAAGGATAAACTAGAGGAGTATTTCAGTCCTAAGTCCTCTATTGTATGAAATTTTGATAACCCTTACCAATTATGGTTAGATCTAGGTTGAGTAAAAGATTAATAGAGTAGATCCATTTACATTTGGCAGTCTCAAACGCCAACTTTCATTTTCAGCCTCAATCAGTCACATGATTGAGCTTCATACCAATATTGCTTTGTATATTGTTCCGCTTATGAGGGGAGAATGAATAAATTACTTTAAGATCATCTGCATACTAAAGCAATCACAGATAGCATTTACGTAAGATAAGAAAGCAAGGAACCTATTATACTATCTTGTATTATCCAATACAGAGTTTATTTTGACTATTTGGTGTCGATGAACAAGAAAGGGATTAAATATAAGAACTATAGGGTTTATAATCCTGTAAGAGGTGAGCTTTTCTTATAAGAAGCTTATTGTTAACCATAATAAATGCTCCAGCAAAGTCAAAGTATAGTATAAGAGTGGAGGTCCACGGTTACAGTAAAGAAAAGCTAAATTGAAAAAGTAAAAATGGTGTGATACAGTATCGATTTTTAAGAAGGTCATATCGAGAATCAGTGATAAGTTTCTCAATGAGTAGATAGTTGAAAAGTTAACCATCAACAATTTTTTCAAAAATCACTGAGTTAACTGGAAAAATATATATAAGCCAATGATTGTTCATGTCAGTCTTTTTGCCTAATCTATAGCTTGATGATGTATGAGACTTTCCAATAGTTAGGGTAAGCACCAGTCACCAATAAAATAGTAAAGAGCTACAGGAGAAGTAGTAGTATATCAGATCCAGCATATTTAAAGAGATGGGGTGGAATCCTATCTACTTCAGGAACTTTTGAGACGTAAACGGAGTAAATAGCTATACTTATCGTTAGATATGTGAAAGAACCTACTGCCTGAATTCTGACAATCATATTAAAAATGCAATCGGCGTTCTGAAACAAAGTTTTAAGAAATATTCTGTAGATGAGATCAGCTCATTCTGTTGAAGCTGAACTTGGGAAAATAAAGAAAACGAATTTCAAGACATTATTTCATACTGGTGGCTGAATGTTTTGGAACGAAAGTATGTGAAACCCCATGTCAAACAGAGCTAACTTGAAAACACATTTGGCCTTATTATCAAATATTAAGGCAAAATATGCATCTAATTCAACAAACCGGGATCATTTTATACTGATGCATTTTGTAACGGTTGTGCCATTTTTAATTCCGTCTTCGGTGAGACTAAACTTTATATGTACCTTTATTTTTAAGAAGTAAACTAATCTTGTAACGATTAGAACACAACCAGTGATTTGTTAAATGGTACAGAACTGCTGAAAGCGTCTTGTTGTTTTTCGTATTGATTAATGTATTTGTTTAAGAGTATTATATCTACATCTAAGCTCAGTGCATTCAGATATGACATCAGACTTAAAATAAATATTGAACACTAAACGCATATTAACTACGTAGTCACAACCAGAGAAACTAGTGTATCATAATTTAATGAAATATGACGAGACAGGAACACTTTTGAATTTCGTTGTTTACCTTACTCTAGCTCTGTATCATTCGATTATTATTTCAACATTAGTGCTGATTGTCAGCTTCCTGATCGCCCCTAGATCACTCATTTTGTTCCTGGAGCATTTCTGGGAAAGTCTTATAAATAGAATTTGTTTTATACGTACTTAAGAAAATATTACTTATTTCTGGTGTTTATCTGACTTTTGTCCTAAAGTTCGAAAATACGGTAGTGAACATTCTTATATCTAAATCTTAGTTTGTTTTAACTAGCCACAGTGAATAAATGAAAGACATCAGAAACTGTTTAAATTAAATCACTTCTATTAAATAAATTGAAAGTAATAAGTAGAAAAATATTGGAAGAAAGTAACTGAAATTAATAGGATATCTCATTTCAAATAAATAATTATAATAATATTTTTAGTTAAATCAATATAAGGAAAATTATAAGTTTTTTCATATTGATGATGATGATGATGAGAAGAGAAGAGAAAATATTAGACTATAATATTTTCTCTTCACTTTTATATCTTTGGTTCATAGTTACTGTTCGAGATCAGCACTTGTTATGAATTCGCCTTTATATTGAGAATGACGGATTCCAAACGAGTATTGTGGGGCGGATTGTGAATTCATATATACCTGAAATAGAAAAAAAGCGACTTCAAAGTTACAAATATGTTTCAAACTCCACGTGGCCTACACAACGTCGCTTCGCATTTGCAAACACCCTCTGTTGAATTAAGAATGCTTTGAAGTCTGTTGAAATTGTACACTTTTGTGAGGTTTATTAAACTCAGTGACAATGCAGAGTGTGAAAAATCGTTTGATAGACACGAATATAGACTGGTAAGAAAACTTCATGTTATTATCTAACATAACAGCCAAAAACAACATTACTTTAAAAACTACAAACGAGTGTACATGTTTTAAAAAATGGATTGTAGGGCTGAATATCGCCTAAAGTATAGAAGGTCAGGAGCAAAGCCGAATTGTAGGAAAAGTTACAAGACAAACTAAAATTCGCCTTGATAGTGACAAATAATGCTCTATGATTGTCTCAGCAGTGATTAGAAAAACATGTTTTGTGATTAGAAAACTATGCGTTGTAGCCGCCGGAGCTTATTTTACTAAAACTTATAAATGTGATAGGATATACCATCATTTATCCGTGTAAAGATTATTTCAATCGACCAATTTAACACTAAATGTTTTAATTAGATACTGTTTGCAACTATGGCCTACAGAACTGTTTTGACTGGTTTGACCGGCAGAAGTCTTTGTTCATGATTAGCTTATTCTAGATTCTTTGCTTCACAAAACATGCCTGTGGCATATCCTAAATGGCATAAAGGGTTTACCTTCCTATTTTCTTGTTAAGAAGGCTTATTACAAAGTTATTTTGTGATCGGATGGATAGAATTAATCTCGCAGATTTCTTAACTTAAGCTTTAAGGAAATGGTTTATTCAGTCATATGTACGTTGTTTCCTCAAAACAGAAACACTCAGGATGTGTTAACAGAAACTTTTACTGCAGGAGTCTGAACAACTGCTTTATAGTTTTGTTTTAAAGAAAAATCAGCTGAAATCTGACTTGATCACCGGTTTAACAAAATCATTTTGAATATTATTTTACAGGTTTACAATGGAACAAATAGCTAATCAAAGTGAATTTTTGTTCAGTGAAATATCAAAAGATGCAAATACGCGAAAATTTAATGAAATAGTAGCAATGAAATTTTATTTTAATTATATTCTAACTCATAGAAATTTGTATCTTTGACTTTTATTGACTTAATGTAAGTCACAGTTTCACAGTAAATAATGAAATAACATAAATGTGCTACTTAGTTTATTCACTTACCTAAACGCTTGAAATAACTCAAAATTTTCAGGAACTCGGATTTATCATAGTCAAGAACAGTTGAAGATAAAAAAAAAGCATAAAATTACTGATGTGATGGGTGTAGATGCATCATTCACTCAAAGTAATTTGAATTCCACAACTAACAGGTTTAGTATGGATAGCTATAAGCTGAAATGTTGATTAGGTTTCAGGTTACATTATGTTTTTCAAAATTGGAATCACAGTAAAGTTAATAGTTAAATCAAACGAAGTATATCATCGTTTCCAGATTACATCACCTCAAGGACTGAATAATGAGTTGGTTTAGCCAGATCGAGATAATATTTCTAATTAATATATAAAGATACTAATTTTGTTAGAAATTTTAATTCTAAGTGCTCAACTATTCCACTGAGTAAAAGGCTGTGACAGGTGTTTTTGTGAAACATACAGACATTAATATAAGTGAAGAAAAGTATGGATACAGAGGAAAAAACTGAACGGATAATAACGAGCAATACATCAACCGCTAAGAAGACTTGAAAATTGCGTGTAAAATAAGTTTTTTGCCAATAATCTATCTTAATACAGTCAATTTTGTCTGCACCACCAGAAGTCTACTACTCATTTATTCCCTGACGCTATTTTAAAACTCAACTTTATATTGTTTGGAAAGGTTATGCAAAACACTAACTTTTTCAGGAGAGTAAGCTCCTGGACCTGGCTTCTTAGTATTGTCTGCTGGAGGCTGGTTTTTCCCTGTAACGGAATATTTGGGGGCAGCTTCGCGATATAAGTTAAGATCAGTGACTTTGTAAGCTCCAGCTCCAGGTGTCTACAGTATTAATATATTTTTATGGGTTAACCTACCGCAGCGGCACCTAAAATCTTCGTCCGGTCAGACAACGAATAAGCTGGAGCTGATTTCTTTTGACTTCTCACTGTTTTCCCGATCATAGGATCTATGTTATACCTGTTTGGACCTACGATAATGATTACGATGTGTAAAAGAGATACAAACCTGGAAAGTCGTCTGGTTTTAACTCTTTAGTTCGAGAACTTAATGAGCAAGCTGGTGCCTTATTGAAAACAAACTGGTCACTGTTTTCAATGGAGTAGGCCCCTGGACCAGGATTGGAAAACATCATCGCTTCCTTCTGTCGGCTGTAAAGTGAAAAATGAGGTGTTCCGTCTTTGCCGTCACGTAAAATTTTAGAGTCTGGATAGTAGCGCGGACCTGGGCTACACTGACTGTCAATAGCTCTGTGTCGAATTCCGAAAGACCACTGTGCTCCACGAAGATGGTTTGAACGAGGATCATGATTTGGAAAACCAGTTAAACCAGGAAGGGCATAACATGGACCTGGACTGCTATACATTGCAGCAATTGGACCACGAGGTTTAGTGTAGTTGTACACCATTCTTATATCACAAACGTTAATTATTTGTTTTACAAGTAGAAGAGCTTTTGTAGAAGTGAATATTTGAAACGCCACACGTTGTTATGGTTTCAGCTTGTCACCCTGAAAACTTGCACAGTAAAACACATTCAATACCCAATATATTTACCACGAGCTAGGGTAAACCAATCGATTTCTTTACGCTCGATTCTTGTTCATTCGGTACAGTTCCAGGTGTTTGGTAGTATCCAATGAAAGAAGCTATAGCCACTCGACTGTCAAATTGTCGTCGGTTGGCAGTTGTTTGTGAGTTTGTATGTCTCGGTATTTGAATGAAAACGTTTGTTTCACGGCATAAGGGTTTCTGGATACCAGATGCTATCACATAACTAACCTAGTTGTCACTTAGCTGCAATTCGCAGAATATTAGAAACTTCTGATGTTTATATGAAGATTTCAGCTAGTTGGAATTCGGAGAATAGTAAGGATGAAATTCTAATGCTAATATGAATAAAATTTCAGAGCTAAGTAATGATGATGATTTAGTTTATTTGTTGGCAGTAAAGACTGTGGGAGAGGACCAAACTGTAAACAAAGGATAGGAAACAGAGATAATAGGCGGGATAGATTTAGTGAGTGCTCTGAGGAGATGGCAATGATAACAACTAACAGGTCTCAAGATATGCATCAAGCAAAGCTTGTCCAGGAGGCAGATGATAATCTGTGTGTGAGTACGTGTTTATCAATTATATTCTTAAAGTTGTCCACTGAAGGGACTGTGGTCACCTTGGTTTGGAGATAATTCCGAATTGCACTGACTCTGAATGAGAAATGCTTGCACGAAACTGCGCATTTTGTCATTGATGAGCAATTTTTCGAGGATTTCCTCGAGTAGGGTTGTGGTGATGCATCGGTAAGATGGCTTGGCGTGCTCATTATGCTGTACATCATAATCAGATCGTCTTTGATCCTCCTGTAACTCAGTGAGAATAATCCAAAGTGCTGAAGTCTATCTTCGTATGGTTTGGACTTCAATCCTACTAATCATTTTGTCGCTCGTCTCTGCACTCGATCCAAGAGATTTATGTCTCTTTTATGCAGAGAAGGTGCGATTATGTTGTTAACCCCCTGGTGCGAGCTGGCGGATGTCTAAAATAATGTTACGAATAAATCTGGGGTGATAGCACCAAGTTGTCTTCGCATAAAGTGAAGAGTCGCGTCTGACATGTCTGCGTTCCCTATGTAGTTCGGGCTCGTGTGGGGGCTATCTAGGGTTATTTAACCGAGATCCCGCTCCGGGGAGACATTAAGTAGCAGACTTCAATTTAGGTTGTAAATTGTTTGTTTAATGTCGGGCATAATTTACATGACGTGGCACTTCGGTTGGTTGGTTTTTAAACCGTCTTTCACTGCCCATTCTTCAATGGATGTAAGGTCCTTTTAAAGCTCAGTCGAAAGTTCCTCGCTTCTAATGGACCACCACAGCTTCGCATCGTCTGTCTAGGTGAATGACGGTGAGCTTACTAAGCCTGACAAGTCTTCAATTAATATCAGGAAGAGAAGTGTACCTAAGATGGCCCCCTGTAAAACTCCCGATGTGGATACTCGCCAGCTGGCGAGCACTCTGTTTATCTTGGTACGAAACTTCCTATTCTCAAGGTAGTTTCTGAGGCAAGATATGAGGGGGGGGTGTGACGATCATTTCCTCAACCTTTGTGATTAGTCGAGTGTGGAGTACTGCACCACAGGTTTTTGCAAAGCCGAGAAATATTACGTGCACCAGTATTTTTCACTCCTAATGTCCTGTGCTATGAGAAGATTAGATGCGTACGACCTGCCTTCCCAAGAAAGAGTAACCTAATTCCATTCAGTTGCGTGTTGGAGTGACTCCAGTGAATGCCTAAACATGTCCCATATCGGTGAACACAGAACTTCTGCTGAATTATGGAGTACACTATACCGTCCTCACTCAAGGAACTGAAGGCTTTTCTCGGTTCGGTTAACTTTAACTCCTCTCGCGGCAGATCAGTTAAGACTTTTGTTGAATAATAATTTACTCTTGCAGTTCGCCTTTTACTCGGACAGTGTAGCTTCATACGCGTCCCGCCCACTCCAAGTCCAAAAAAAACGATAATTCTGGGAGAGAACGGTTCTATATTTAATCAAGAAAGGGAATTCAGACAATTACCAAAACAATATTACACCTTCGAGTTTCCAATTACCACAATAGGTTCCGTTGCTGGATGAATAAGTGCTTCCAGTCAGTTTCTGCTAGAGTATCAAATCCAAATATGGCTGTAGCCATATTAAGTATCGAATTTAAACAACATATGTATAGTTCAGAAGGAAACACAAAAACTTCGATATCAGCACAAGATATAGAAATAATAACTAGATACAAATGATAAAATCCCAAAATCGAATCAAATAGAGTACCAAAATATCAAACAGAAGAGTCAGTCATATCATAACACAAATATATGTACATGGAGGGATTTTCCAGAAACTAAACCTTCAACTTAGATTCTACAGCCATTAACTGACTTACTTCGCGACAATCCACGTAAATTAGAATTGAACGATGCCTCACGTACTGCATTTTTAGAGATCAGAAATGTTCGCATCTATAACCATCTTCCGGTTAGTACCGTCGACTTCAGTCAATCTTGGAGAAATCCGATCTGATCACCCACGATCTTGTCAATGCGCTTGGCCGATGATTTAGCTGAGAATTTATCTGTCATACGTTTGGTTTCTAACATTTTCATTATGTTTGTTTCTGGTTCCTTCGCTCAGTATGGTTCCCTCCTAACTCTGCGGCATTTTCTGTTTCAAACTGCTTCGAACTCAAGTTTTAGGTTCTGTAAACAAGCCGCGTTGGTGTGGCCTGACGACTCGAGCAGTAACAATGACACATTGAAGCCGCAAAAGATATTTCGGGACAACTCGAGGTTCATTGGAGAATTCCTGTTCGTCAACACTTTCGACCATACAATCGCACGTCGGCTGAACAGTCTAGCGAAAGAAACCGTTACGTAACAAGGGGGCTGGTGTCGTGGAATACTCTTATGAAGATAATATATATGGATTTCTACCGTGGCAGTTCAAATGGTTTCCAATAAGTGCAATCTGAACGCGTATCTCCCAGTCCAAAGTCCAGAAAACGCAACAATTCTAGGAGAAAACGGTCTATATTAATTAAAAGATGGAAATACAAAGCAATACCTGGAGTTGATGCACTTTCCAGGTCACAATTACTCCGAAGAGTATCCAAGACAAAGGTAATAAGTCCAACCGCCACCGTATCAATCCAAATATGGCTGTAGCCATATTAAAGATCAAATTTAAACAACATATATACAGTTCAGAAGCAAACATAAAAACTTCAATATAAGTACAAAATATAGAAATAATAACAATATACAATGATAAATTCTCAAATTGGAATCAAATAAAATACCGAAATGTCAACAGAAAAAGTCCGTCATGTCATAACAAAAATATGTAAACATGGAGGGATTTTCCAAAAAACAAAACATTCAAAAAGGATTCTACACCGGCCCGCAAAGTCCCTCCATGCAAAAAGAGCAAGCGTTAATGACACTTCTATTTAGGGTTCCCACTCATCCCCTAATCCACACCGGAAGAACGTGTAGGACTTACAGCAGTACGCCTACCCGCCATCCAACATGGATATGACCTATCAAGCTAACTAGGTACCTATACCTTCCCATCAGGCCCTTGATTCCCCTATCTGTCGTAGCCTGACCTAACGGTAGTATAAACCTTACCCAATTAACCCACACGAACATGTACTACACGTCGTAAAGCTGGTCATATCCTATTCGGGATTTACATTCCATACCATGGGGATGAGTCGTCAATCCACCACCACTTGCTCCGAACGGCAGATACGATGAAGTCCGTGATGCTGACTTATCAACAGAAGTTCTTGACCCATAGATAATATGCGATGGTGGGATCTTCAATTTTGACATTTCCTCGTCTCCTGAAGACTCTAACTGGCATACCATAGACATAATATCTAACTCTCCATCTCCTGACACAGAGGAGGTTTGATCAGCATTCGTCATCGTCGCCAACTCATTTGTCACATCAGTGACATCCAGATTATTATCATTGTCATCATGATTCCGTTCTGACAGACAAGTTACGTTGATTCTGGCTACACTAGTATCCGTAGAGTGAAACTCTTCCATTGTTGTACAACTCATCTCGCTACATGAAAGAACAGCATTAGTGTCACAATCCAAAGCCGATAAACTCACTTGTTGTTCTTCATGTTCCGGTTCAGAGACACATTACCTGTTCACATCAATAGCATCGTTATCATGCAACACTGTAAACTAACTGTTACCATCAGACGCTTCCTTCTTATCATCACTCGACTGACAGTCAACCGAAATAGGAACACTTACAGTTACACAACCTTGTGTATCCTCAATCAACCTAACATTCGCGACAAGGTCCGATGACGTCGAAACACTAGAAGGCTCGTTCGATGAAGTTGATCGACTAGTCACTATACGTGGACTGCTCACACTTTCTGTCTCTTTACTATCGCTGTCACTATTAAGATTCTGATGACTACTATTTCCATTGCTAGTCATAGCATCCGAAAGATAGTGATGCTTAGGCTTCTTAATAATAGTAGCATCATGTTGTTTCCTAGGCTTCTTAGCCTTTACAGTACCACCATCACTTATCCTAGAATCAACTCTAGGTCCCGTTATATAATTTACCCTAAGTGAAGGGTTCCGAACATAGGCTTTATTCCGTCCAGACAATCCTGCCTAGGCCTTATTCATATTTACTGAACTCATTAACCTCTGTTTACTCGAATCCGAATAACCGTTCCAGGCATTTCGATCAGTTAAGAGGCTTTTATCATCGCACACTTCGGATCCATCTTGATGCCTACACTTTTCGCCTTTTTCTTTCTTTTCCATACTTATAAAAGCCATCTTATCTGTTACACAAACCGGCCTCTTACTGGGATACGCATCAAGAGGTTTTACATCGTCACGGTCACATACTCGGCCTTCAACAGCTTTCAACCCGATATAATTGACAACTCTCTTATCTTTCGGGCGTGCGTTAGGTAGAAACGAAAAATCCTCATGTCTCGCACGCAGACCACTAGTAGCTTCCGTATTATGTCCTGTTTTAGCCCGATAAGCTAATCTTCCGAACCTACTACTAGCTATCTTAGCACGAGACATAATAAATTCCGTCAACTCATTGAAATTAGGCTCTCTCTCCTCTTCGTCCCACTTGATTCCCAGCTCTGCCCACTGGGCTTGCATTCGACGAGGTAAGAGCCTGACTATTCGTTCTAAAGTAACCAGGGAATGAAGTTCCGTTGTACAATTTAGCTGTTCTAAGGTTAAAGCAGCATTCTGCATTTTAATAGACAAATTCGTCAATTCTTCAGGATCATTAAAATCTGCGTTCCCGGTTCTAAATAAGTCCTCTAAGGTTTCCCGGGCTATAACATGCGACTGTCCAAAGAGCTGTTTTAAGATGGCCTTAGCTCTCTTATATCCCGCTTGTGGATCCATTATAGTACAACCTTCAATCGCATTTTTTGACCTTCCTTTACAATAGTGAATTAAATACAATAAACGCAAATTTTCATCTTTTATTCTGGGTTCTATAAACGTTTCAATTTGTCGCATAAATTTAAAGTAGTCGCGAGACTTTCCATCAAAAAATGAAAGTTCGACCTTAGGTAGTTCTAAACCTACTATCGGTGTCCTAAGTATCTGATCCGTCTCTGGTATCTTAGAACCCTCACTTAAGCCTTGTTCCTTAATGCCTGCCAAAGGCGACTTACAATAATAAGTATCAGACATAACATCATTGTTAATAAAGTGGGTACCCATTAAACAATCATCATTAACGACTTGCCTAGCGTTTCGAGGCCCTTCAAGCTCTTCCTCCCTCCTCGTGTTTGTTTTCTTCCTGCTACTCATGTTTAAGTGAAGTTCGACGGAAGGAAAATAACAAATATAAAATATAGGAATTCCACAGGTATGAAATATCCAAAATCAGAAAATCGTCTTCCAAAATACAGTTCGAATACAAAAATACGATAAGTAATCCAAGATTCTTCTTTCAAGAAGGTTAGTGTTATAAACGATTAAATTTCCAAATGTTTCTTTATTCTTCTTAATAATCCGACTGTAATTGGTCTTCTAATCAAAAGTCAAGCAACTCCAGACTATAAATGGATTTCTACCGTGGCAGTTCAAATGGTTTCCAATAAGTGCAATCTGAACGCGTATCTCCCAGTCCAAAGTCCAGAAAACGCAACAATTCTAGGAGAAAACGGTCTATATTAATTAAAAGATGGAAATACAAAGCAATACCTGGAGTTGATGCACTTTCCAGGTCACAATTACTCCGAAGAGTATCCAAGACAAAGGTAATAAGTCCAACCGCCACCGTATCAATCCAAATATGGCTGTAGCCATATTAAAGATCAAATTTAAACAACATATATACAGTTCAGAAGCAAACATAAAAACTTCAATATAAGTACAAAATATAGAAATAATAACAATATACAATGATAAATTCTCAAATTGGAATCAAATAAAATACCGAAATGTCAACAGAAAAAGTCCGTCATGTCATAACAAAAATATGTAAACATGGAGGGATTTTCCAAAAAACAAAACATTCAAAAAGGATTCTACAGATATTGCAATTGGTGGGATCCACGCATTTATTACTGTTCCCGATTGTACCAGTGGTTGTTTCATTGTGCTTGTTCGTTTAACTGTACCAAAATCCATCAATTGAGAGCGTCACGTTACCTACCATTGTACGACTGCCTCGATGTTTTCTTCCCACATCCGTCATTGTGATCTCGATATTTTTTTCAATAACAAGCGATCATCAATCAATATACTTCGAACTCAAATCACATCTGGTCATTGGATTTTTGGCCGGAACGGGGTTTAATTGGTTATCTTCTGATAGGGAGTCTTATTTCGATACATTCTATGTTTTAGAAATGGAGAAGTGCCGACATTCGAATTTTAAGGAAATATTTGAGGTTTTTTCTGGATTTTCTAAGTTCTTGGGTTTACTTAAAGAGCCTTAGTCAAATCCTGGGTGGGACTGATATTGTAAGCTTTGATACTTACTAGTGTGGTTGAGTACTGTTGGCAGACAACTGAACTGGCTGTATGTTGCGCTCTTATACTTATGGGATAGATCTGTAGAGTGAAGTCCTCTTACTAAAGCTAAGGATATATGGTCAATTACCATTTTCGTTTTCTTCAAGATCAGCATTTTCCGGAACACTGATTAGATATTTTTAAGGTAGTAAATAGTGAGTGGTTGACCCTATTTAACTTGAGTTGTCCTTAGAATTATTGTTGGCGAAAGTGTTGAGGGCAGAATAACTTATCGACAATCTGTGGTTTTCTACAAATTTTATCCGTTTGTGAGCTCGTCAAGTGCTTACGATCAGCCTCATTTTTTAGAGGGTGCTCGCAAATCTTCGTTTCGGATGAAGTCCAGGAAGTAGTGCATGGTGTTGAGTCACTTGGTTTAGTCAAGTAAGGTTTTCTGCAGGTTCACCGTACAATCCTTAGTGAACTGATAGGAAGATCAGAGTACGATACGGATGGATACCTGTTCTTAAAATGTTTATTTTTATCCGATTCGGCATCGGATCTTGTAAGTGTTGTATGCGGCAGGCGAAACTCAGTGTTTTTTTAGAAAAATGTGACATGCTTTTGAAATTTTAATTGTTAAAATTATTACAATCCGGCAGTTTCTGTTCAGACATTACTTGAAAGAAGGAAACCGTCCAAATGTAGGAGTGCGTTCAGTATAATTAGAGCAATAAGAACATTAGGCCAAAAAATTAAGTATAACGCTTGAATAAGAATAATCGATGTGTGCGTATTAGGCTGTAGCAAGCGTAATCTGCAGTCACTGAAGAGCAAAGAGGATCTAAAGTCACAACACATAAGGTTAATTCAACGCCTCACACCAAGAGAGAACACGAAGTTGTTTTCACGACACCCATTTATTTGAAAATCAAATACGCGGGCTTTTGCAGGAATGGGGTGGGTAGTGTGCCAATGTCTTATGAGTCATCCTGTAAGTTTAGAGCACTCAGTGCTTGTTCTTCAGCTTCCAAAGCGTTTGCGTTTGATCGCGCTGGAAAAGAAGGAAAAAAAAGGACGAGTTAGCAACATCATACATGGTGGTTTTGTATCCGTTACATGGCGTTAGTTTAAATATGCCTCAGACTACAAGTAAAACGAGGAGGAAAAGAAAGATGAAAAATTTTACAGCCTTACAAACTCGCACTGTCATATTTGAAAACTTGAATCGGTTTCGGTTCCTACTAAGAAGTTTTATTACAAGCTGATCTAATCAATTCTGTTGAAAAGAGCTAACTCGTTACTCCTTAAGCAAGGGCGCTATAATAAAATAAAAACAATAAAGGTAATATCATCCAAGGACCAGGTCACTGTACCGTCATTCATATATTCTGTAAAACGTTGTTTTGAACTTCAATAGGTCACTAGATTAACCTGACATTTTGATATTGGTTAATGATTGTTTTGTTTTACTCAGTAAAGTTTGGAGGGATTTGAACGCACTTTTTGTTACTGCGCTAAGTTTTTATGGCGTTCTTGTTCTGCAAAAGTATCAAAAAGTCACATATACATAAAATATCATGCGAAGGTTCAGCTTCAGTAGGTTTTGGGCAGTTTGTTTATTTTCTATTCATAGGAGATAGAAGGCTACAAATTCTCATATATACGATATTTCTGTGTAATTATCGGTTGCATTTTAAGTGGTGGCCTTCTACGTTTACTTTTTCACTGGTTTCCACATTGGCTCCTTTGGTGTACACACAAAACATGTGAACTTAGTGAGGCCAGTAAAGTGAAGATAAAGGTTTGAGTACTATTATTTTCCATGATAAAATAAATTTTAAAGGATATTTCCGGCATTTATATCCATAAAGTTCAGTATCCAGTACAAGAAAAGTCGAGGTTAAGTTAACATTCGGTTGATATTACTGTTGCAAACACATGTTTCGAAATATGTAAACTCTCTCTTTTTTTTTAATCAAGGCCACAGTATGATGGTACATCAACGGATACTTTTCTTGAGAATCAAACCAAACACCCATATATCATACACAAAAAGCTGAAGTATATCTGGAATTTCGAATCTGAAAACTTTGAGATACTACAGTAAGTGGGTTGTATTTACAGAAATTTCATATTGTTGAAGTAACTATCATTTCTTAATTATTATTACTAAGTAAAGTCTTCACGAAGTCAAATCAGAAGTACTAGTATTTTGTTAGTTGGGTTTTTGCACGAATCTTTCAAACTTTTGCTTGTACCCTACCTGTATTTTAATGTAAGTATCCGCTCAAATTACTCTCTAATCCGAAAGCGTTCTGTAACTTTTAGAGGTCTTGTAGTCTTATTAAGTGAAGCTTATCTTAAACAAAGAAAATATCACCCTTTGGGATTTATTTTAATTTGAAGAAAATGTTAGTTCACCGGGATCCTCAAATTTAGTCTGAGTGGAACAAACATGCCAATTTACATTTTTCTAGCAACATAATCCATCGTTTCATTGTTAGTTAGATTTTCCTACGAAATTGCTGAACTCTTGTTTGTTTTTCTGTAGAAACTGGGACGAACGTGCGTACGACGAAATATTGAATGCACAACCTTTGACTACGGATCTAATTGAAACTCGTCGAAACCTGTATGGAATTAATAAGATAGATGTCAGTCTTACACCTATAATCAGGCTTGTTTTGAATGGAGTACGTTGAAAGTAGAATAAAATTTTTATTTATATTCTCTGTTGATGTTTATTTGACAGACTCAAAATGAATTATTGATTATTCGAGTTCTTGTTACAGCGTTTGAAATTAATGTTTCAGATTTTATAGATCGGCTTAATAATGTACATTTTGAATTGGAATAATCAAAATGTTTAAGGCTATTAAAGCATATTAAAAGCCACTGCAACACAAATTCTTACTACTGTATATATACACAGATAGTCAGTGGGCGGACAGTGAAAATTAAAATAACACAAAATAATCGTTTGTTTAAGGGGTTGCTTGACTCAACTTCTTATCATAGTTCATTAATTTACAATGCACCATTCACTATGTAGTATCAACTGGTCATTTACAAACGGACCAAATATGAACACTCGTCATGAGATTTCGGAAGCAAATCAGCCAGATTTGTGCATAGACGTAAGTGATAGCTTGAGACTATTTGTGTACACTAACCTGCGTACAAACTTCTACATACTCGACAAATATAGCCAGACGAGCCTAACCAACATGTAGAGTATTATAATAGCAATAACTTTGATTATCAATCTTACTAGCTTTCTGTACTTTCCATTTGTAAACTCATTGTGGTATCTACCTCCAGCCAAATTGTTTCGTTTTTGTTTCAGTGTCTTACTCCTTTTCACTGCTTTCAAGTGTTCAGTTGTATAATATGGTTTTGCGTTGAATACGAAATATATGCAACATGCATTGCTGTGTTCTCAGTAACGTCACTAATTTTTCAGGTTTACGAGCTTCGTAAGGTAAGAAAGTTTGGACATATTGAGTTAATAATTCCCTTAAAAAAGTACCAAACTATTCGAATAAATGTTATGTGATTTAAATGCGGCTTCATTAATGTAAATGAAATTGTTTTCAAACCCTTGCTCTTGCCGTTTATTGTTTAAAAATCACTTATAAAAAGAACAACATATAGAGTTTATCAGTTAGATGAACTTGTTGGAACTCGATAATGCGAAAATCTTAGCTCTCTTTTTAGTCATACCTTATGTATAAGAGTCATTTATATCACTTGATATCTCAGTCATACAGGCTATTGCGAGTTTCAACCCTAAGGCATTGAAGCGAATATCCAATAACGTTGAACTCTGAACTACAACACGATTTCTAGTTATCTTGATCGAGATTTTTGAGATCGCGCAAAGCCTAATTTCGAAGAATGTAATCGTCTGAACTTGGATACAAACAGACGAATAGAAACAATATCACAACCAACAAAAACTATGGAGAACTCAACGATTTAATTTTACCGGTCTCTGAGGAGAGATTACCATTATAATATAATTATTATATTGTGGAAGAATGCCTAAAGTCCTTGAGAAATTGTAGAGAGACGTTTATTTTATGTTGCTCATAACCAGCTGCCTTCTACCCGAATGAGCAATGGGATTGGTCGTCGAAATGCTAGAATAACTGGACAAAGAAATAATATCAACACAGTGAATTTTTAGCATCTGGACTGAGCGGCATTGGTTAGTGCAGACTTATGAAATGTATATCTACAGCATTCGATGCTACCAGCCAAGGCGACCACCTGCTTAAATTGAGTCATCGAAACTAAAGTTGGACATGACTTGTATTTTCTGTAATCGGGGTCAGTGGTGAAATGTTGACTGATCATGTAACTTAACATCTGACGTACCTTTAAGTCCGAAACCTGCTTACGGTTAGTGGCTCTGCAGCAATACACAGAATATATTCTAACGTTTCATTCGATTATTTGGAAATTCGACATAATGTGCATGTTTTTAAGTTACATGAAATAGTCCGACTCCTAACAAAAGCTTTTGAGGAGCAGACTAGATAAAACCAGGCTGGTTTCCAACCTGGAAGTGGCTGTATAGACCAGATATTCACACTATGACAAGTCCTGGAACATAGACATTCGTTCCGACGCCCCACAGTAGCAGTATTTCTCGACCGTAAAGCGGCATTTGACTCTGTCGATCGTGAGATTCTGTGTCAGTGTCTGTCACTGAAAGGTGTAACAATGAGGTGCATTGACCTTATACAGGCTCTCTACTCGAACACTACAGGTCGAGTAAGAGCTTATGGCGAACTGTCACCGGAATTCCTTACTTCAAGTGGTGTCTGCCAGGGCTGTCTACTCTCTCCATTCTTGTTTAACTTTGTCAGAGACATCCTCTTAGAGTTAACATTATCATCGTATGACCTTTCAGGAGTGGAAATTCTACCAGGAGATACGCTTGCTGACTTAGAGTATGCTGATGACATAGTTCTACTTGGTGAAGACGCTGACAAAACGCAGTCTTCCAACTATCCTAAGCAACAATGTAAGCATGTTCGAGATGTGGTTTTCCCACTCGAAATGCAAAATGTTGCCTCAAGATGGGGTTGCATAGACAACTGAACTAGTGACAGGGAGTGAAGTTGTCGAGTGTGTAGACCGCTTCACTTATCTTGGGAGTCTCATCAGTGCCAATGGGCTGGTGACTAAGAAAATCTCAGCAGGGATACAGAAAGCTCAACTGGCTTTTCCAACTTGCATCACTTATGGCACAGGTGAGATATCTGTTTGCTAAACAAAACATGAGTGTACTGTGCAGTAATTCTTTCTGTTCTACCATAGGGATGCGAAACATAGACGGTAAGAGCAGAAGATATTCGTAAGTTATTAGTGTTCGATTAAAGATGTCTTCAGAGCATTGCTTGTATATCCTCGGAAAACCGAGAAAGCAATGCTATAGATAGGAGACGAGTACTGGGTAAGGATGACAGATGAAGAATTGAAACTTCGTCAGTTCAGATGGTTGGGGCATACGTCATAAATGCTCAACCACCGACTGCCTCGACGAGCTATTTTTTATGGTGTAGGAGTAGATTGAAAGAAAGCTGGTGGTGGCCAAACCAAAACATGGTAGAAATCCACGAAGTTAATGACAAGTGGATTGAGTCATATTGGTAGATGTAGGCTACCAGGTTGGGGTTCGCAAGCCGAAAGTCACAGACGGTTATATACCTCCTTAATTCCTCATCATCTCTATGAATTACACTTCTCGAATCATGTCTCCATTGCCGCCAATACTTTTACTATCTCTACCACTACGGGATTTGAACCAATAGTTGTGTCTCTGTGCTGATGGGAAATGGCGACCTGAACTTATGTACTGATGTACGGAGTTCTATGTTGTAAATGACTGACTGAAAGTTACACGAAACAATTCTTGGGGTTTCAATAAAGAATAGATAGTTCAATAGTACACATCCCATCGTCGCTAGTTCTAGGTGTCTTTATTGATAGATAAATAAGGTTATCCCTTGTTCTTTATAACAGTCACGTTAATACTGTTTGCATGGTAATTATATCTTAGGTATTGTTTTCGAATTAGCTTCGCTTATATAGTGAGTTATATATGCAGTGGTTTAGCAGTCATTTAAAAAGAGTCATAACTTCCTATACAGAAGTTGCATGGAGTAACACATTACAAGAATTCTGATAAGATAAAATATTCAGTGGTAGAATTCATGGCTTCCGTTCCAAAACATGAACTTTTGAGTCTATGTGTTCAAGTATGAGAATGTTATTTACTCATATGTCATATTGTGAGTGACTTTCAGTGTTATATGTTTGTCATCAATATTGAAGGGTTTCCAAAGGCAGCACGTTTTGGCTTGGAATATTCACTGAGTTATATTTATAAATGATAGAATAACTGCATATTCTTTATGGTTAACATGTTGCTATATTAACCTTGGCTTCGATAAACTGATTAAATGGCATTTTATACAATATAATATCGCTCTGTTTTATATCCAATGACTTAGAATGAACGCTCTTTGAAGAAAACTGTTTGCATTTCATCTAAAGTTAGTGTATGCAGACGCATTGATGGGGAAGATGGTAAGTATAAGTACATTTTGTAAGTTGATTATTGATAGTAAAATGTAAATGCATCTTTGATGTACTCGAAATCAGCTTAATTTCACAAGGACTCCTAGGGCACATAGTCGTGATCTTTGTTAGACATCCTCTTTATCTAAAGAAATTCTGGTCCGCCATGTGACAGTTTCATTGTATACAATACAGCATTATTTGGTACAGAATGTTCTCTTTGTTTCCTAGTTTATGGAGTTTGGCCACAGACAGTGTAGTTTATAGTTCAGCATACCTTCATCTAGTAATTAGGTAACGTATTTCTTGTATCTACAGGCAAATTAGGAATGATTACTTCGCTCAATATTGGATTCGCTGATTATTATGTTAGGTAAGTTTTATAAAGTTCACGAACGTTAAATCCGAAATTCCACACTGGATGGTAGAATGTTTAACGCCAAATTATTGAGTTATAAAGTATGATATACTTCATTTTATCCAGGTAGGGAGAAATTTCAGTGAATCTCTTAGTCTTAGTTATCAATGACTGTATCTTTATTTACTGTTCAGTGATTATTACGTTTCATTTAGGAACGTAGCTACCAAGAAAGGTTTTTTTGAGACCAATTATTACTTATTAATCTCAATCGAAAATAATTCAATAGGTTAGATTAAATATATCCAGGTAGGCAAACCACATTAAACGGTTACAAATTTATTCTTTTGAGCAGAGTTACTTCAACACTTTGATGACTCAAACCTTGATGATCAAATGAAAAACATCTCACTCCACGATAATAAACTAGCTAAGAATCCTTTTACATATTTCCTTATTTTAGCAGTGACAGCCGATAAACAGCTTTATCCATTATTCTGCAAAAGTAATCAATCCACTGGAATGTGTATAAATTTTGTTAGTTTAGATATAAATTTACTAATATGAAGTTAGGTTTATTGAAGTTGAAATAATCACGTATATAACAGCGAATTCGGAACTAGATATGCAGAGACCTTTTGGTTTTATTTTCCAGACATTAAGTAGTAAACAAATTATTCTATCAACTCACGTTTCTAAGCAGGTTGGATTTCAATCGATTCTATTTTAAAGACAAAATAAAATGGAAACGTGACATTTTATGTGTTTGGCACCAGAAATGAATTGGTAGTCTGCTCCGACAATATTAAAAATGCTCCATGAATTCAAATTTTACTGAAATACTATGCATAATTGCAGTTACATTTTAACCTTACTCAAGTGAATCACTTCTACAATATTATAGGTCACATAGTTTAACGGAAATTTCTATCGATCTTATTAAACACATACATTTCGGTATATGTTGCTATCATTATTTGTTACCGTAAAATGTTTACTGTTCAAAATATACTAGTAAATAGCCGTAATCCTTAAAGTACAATAAGAGCCAGCTTACATTACGGTTTTAATTAAGGACTAGCAAACTAACATTAAAAACATCATTTATCATTGATAGTGGTGCCTGGACGAGTTACATCAGTAATAACTACTGCTTAGTGTACTTTATAACATCACTGTCGCACAAAGTGCTTTTACGATTATTTCTAAGTATTTGTTTCTGAAATGACTGGATACTGGATAAGAATTTTGGTCATTATAGGACCAAGAAAGATCAGACCTCCAGATATATGACTTGATATCTTGATCAAGTAAATGATGATAGTTATGGTGATATGTTAAAATATCCCACTGACCTCACAATTAGAGACGTTGATCTATACTAAGATCTCATCTTTGTTTAACAAAAGTGAGAATAATCTCAGGCTTACACGAAATGCGGAGTTAATAGATAACATGCCCGGTAAAATGCACATTCAAATCTGGCTGCGTATTTATGTGGCTTTGTATCTGTGTATAACCATTAAGTCGGGTATTCCGTATTTATTTCACTGAAGATATAGAAATAGCTTTTGTCTAACCTGATAACACTTGTTAGTGTGAAAAACGCTTAATTTCTTAAGTTAAAACTACTGTCTTAACTTTGACTGTAAAAAACAACGCGTTGATCAAAACAGATGGAGTAGTGTATTATGCAACTACCTCCTCCAAACAAGACAAGTGAAAATTTTTGATATTTATTTTTGTTTTTCAACGATCAGATTTTATACTCGTTGATTCAACGGAATTGGTACCGGGAGATTTAATTGCCATTCCTAGTAGTGGATGTCTGATGCAATGTGATGCGGTATTACTGATGGGGAATTGCATAGTAAATGAAAGTAGCTTAACAGGTAGGTCCTAAAAAATAGTAATTTTCAAATGTTTAAAATTGTTATAATCTTAAATTCATGAAATTTTGCAATCGTTTTATTCACTGGAGTCCTACTTTTTACATTTCTAAGCCGGCTTTCCAAAAAAGCGGAACTGGTAATATTTGACTGCTACCACAACTACTGATGTTCCTTTGATTTTTAATATTGGGAAGTATTTCTTGATTATTTCATCTCTCTGTGTTTATGTGACTTGGTAAAATGAACCGAAACATATATCCTCCATGTTCTACGCTGTATATGATTGACTATTCAGAACTAACAATAAGGAGTGTTGATTCAACTAATATCATATTTGCTCTTAAACAGTGTTGAAAAACGTCAAACAAGTTATCACCATCCTAAGACACTATCAGATTAAAGTGGTGCATTCTGCTGGACATCTTTGCAAGAGTTTAGTCATTAGTGGTGATGAGTTAGTTGCTATCATTTTTATGTCTAAGGCTCATTGTTCTTCGATCCTTTTTACGCTATCTAATATGAATATTCATATTCTAGCTAATCGAGATAGTATGGTTTTCGTGTTATCAAGTTGAGAAATGAGAGAAACATGGTATGATGTAAATAAAATTCATTTATCTATTCAGTTTTAAGTTGGTAAACTCATACCTAATGCATTACACACACAGCTCACCACAAAAACTGATTACTCCTTTATGATCGTGTTATGTTCATTCTTTTTCTTCGATAAGGAAGGTTGAGCTTTCCAAGATAGCTTAATTAAAATTTTGTTATGTAAACTGGAAGTGAAGATTTATTCATATTCATAATTTACTTTATCTAAATAGGGTATGTGAATTAGCACACTAATTCTGTCAGTAACCAGAATCACTGATTGAATGGAATGTTTGGCATTACGTACATTTTTGTCAATTTTGATTGTTTTAAAATTTGATTGATTTCAAGCTAACCTTATGTGAATATTATCGTGCTAATAACTTCTTAAAGATTCACAGCCACTTAAAGATATAAACAGTAGAGTTTTTTGCTTTTTGAAAAACAGTACATTTTAATCCCTTTCAATAGCACTAACAACTGAAAGCAGAAACTATGATGATCATCTTTTGAGTACATTAGTTATATAATACAATTGTTGGAAAAAATGAATAAATGGACCGATAAAGAAGTTTTGTGTAAGTGTTTCCTAGATGATTACTTAAGGTAGCTATTATGTTTGGTATAGTAGTGTGACCAGCCGAAATTTATACACTTTCACAAAAGTTGTACTGATATATTTTAGGTTATCTTAAAATTGTAAACTCATTTATAAGTTCTCATGAGGGTTATCTATCTCAACAGTTATCATTTATCTTAATTTCTTGTTCATGAATCATACACAAGATTAAAGTTCTTGATTTTGCTATGGAAGAAGTGGTTAAAGTAACGATGATAGTCTTCATAATAATAATTACTTTGATTAGTCGTATAAAGTTCGTAGCATTTACGGATCCTTCGCACCAATTAGTTAGTACTGCAATAATTTTTCTGTGGTATATTTAAATTTTAACTAACGTTTCCTGAAAGGCAGTATCTCCCACTCATCTCAAATCTTTCTGTTATCACTTTTCAGTTTTTGAAAGAACAGCGAAGTGTGAGAGTCAGCCAAAATATTGTAGTGTTTCCGTATAAGTTTTGTGATTGTTAGCATCTCCATAATTTATGGTCCTCTTTGTAGAAGTGCATGAATGAATGCACCTAGCGTTCATGATTATTAAATTAAAGCAAATCTAAATCAATAAGGTTCACTAAAATATTTATCGTTAGATCCCCCGAACATTTGAGCAGATAACCTGATAAATTATGTCAATTACTGGCAACTTAAAATCCAATAAAAGTATTTACAGTACTAACACAACTTGCTCAATGAAACAAACACTAAACTGTATTGCTCTGAAATAAAAGTAGGATGGAGAAAGCTATTTATTTTAAAATAATTATCATCAACTGTAATAATTTCATTGATACATGTTTAATTTGGAAGACTACATTGTTGATTTACTTTTAATAAATATTTAAATTGAATTAGACACCCGAACTTCATTAATTTTGTTAGCTTTATTCTTAGTTCTTTTGTATGAGCGCCTTCTTTATATATATTGTAAAACTGTGACCACTTAACGTGTACAAATTTGTATAGAATCGACGATATCTGATTAATTTTCATGTGCCAGGCACCTTGAAATGATTGTAATGTCAGGGTTTGGGGTCGCTTTATATGTGGTCGTATTCGCAGTAGAGAGAATGGTTATTCATACATGTAGTTTCGTTGATTGAAATAATTATATAAGTATTGATAGAAACATTTCCTTAGTTATCTCGCCATTCTTATCAGTGAAGATAAAAAAAGAGTTCAAACTATCTAACATAGTCAAACATTTTAACAAAGAATTAAAAAACATATACGGATTTAAATTAATTCATTCTAATCGCATGGTATTTCATTAACTTCAAAATGAATAATTCATGACAAAGTTGTATCGTAGTGAATACACGATTAAGTTACAAGGATATCAGTTAGGTAGTTATTCTGGAAAGCATATGACAACTTGTCCTAAATGATGATTAGTTCAGCGGTTTAAAGTCACTAAATAAGCTAGATCAATCAGTTCAATAAACACACAACTGACAACCAAGGTAGTTGAATCTTGCCCACACTTTCAGTTAGGTATTTAGAACTAATATCAAACTATGGAAATGAATCCATCTTGTTCTTACACCTTTTCTCTACCGCATAAAAGATCTATAAAATTTCAGCATTAGGTTGTCTCTCAATGTAAATAAAACTTCACCTGGAGCTCTTCTAGGGTTACTGGCGGTCCAAAGCCCTGATAAAAGAAGTGGGTTAGGGATAGGGTTAGCAACCTCATCCCGTAGAAAACAAACTTACTAAAAATCGCTCACTATAAAAAATAATTTAAACTCTACTCTGGTGGTTGAAAGGCCTTCATTTAGAAGAGTTACGAGACATCATGGTTAAATCTGAGTTTCTTCGGAAACCAAATGGATGATGCCCGTACTGACAACCAGAGCAACAATTAATGGAATGTTCGCACAATAGGGGAGGCCAAAGGGACTAGTAAAGTTGGTGAAGACGAAAAGATGCAACCTAGTGGTGCTCGGATTATGTGAAACTTATCGGACGCAGCCTGGACAAAAAGGAATAGCTTCAGGAGAGAAGCTGTCGTACTGTGGCCATGAAGAAGAAAATACCCCACATACACAAGCGATTCCATTAGTGCTGTTCAAATAAGCGCCAAATTCACCTATAGGATGGGAATTTTATGTACCTAGTATTATAGAAGCATCCTCCAAGACAAAGAAGATAAGGATCACAATGAATGTCTCCTGGTGGTTTGACCCAACAAACGACAACAATAAAGTGATATAGGTCATTTCTATGAGAGAATGCAGCTGACTGTCAAGAATCGCCTAGCAAAATATGTGACCAGTCTGATAGGAGGCTTAAACGCCAAAGTTGGAATGGACAAAACCCGATACGAAAATATCATGAGACAACATAGACTAGGGAAAAGGAGCTAAAATGGTGAACAGTTGGGTGAAGGCACGAGTGCTGACAGACTGGGAAGCAGTATAACTCATCAAAATCTCAAATCTCAGTTAAGTGAGGACTACAGAGAAACCACACTACAATCAATAATAGGAAAATGTTTCAACAGAGTGTTACTAAGCCAAACAAAAGGTTCAGTAGACGTCACATTCCAGGATTCTGTAAGGATCGGTCAAGTAATAATAAACTGTGGCGTTTCAAATCATTTTGCAACAGCTGATTGAGTGGAACTCATCACTTTCCCTTTTAGACAGTACCGAATTTTCCGTACAAACTTCAAGACAGTTCCATTGTATTAGAAAACTACGAAAGCAATCATTCAAAAGATACAGGTGTTTACAAACAGATGTCTACGCAAGGTACTGCGAATCCGTTGGCCAGACACCATCTGCAACCTATTACTATGGTAGTGTCAGTCATCCGTACCACGACAGTACAGAGGTGCAATTGTCGATTCGAATCCCATAGTGGTAGATGTAGTGGAAGTATGAGCATTATTCGGAGAGATTAGGGTTTGAAGATAGTTTTTCAAAGAGTACAATCTAGTGAAATAAATTTGAGAAGAGGGAGATGTAGATCATGAGGAATTCAGAAGTTAGGAATTTGACAGAACACAAAGAATGGATGCATCTGCGTCATTGCAAACAATTTTGAGCCATGTCATTCAAAGTATCTAATCATCGGTTAGGATTGTCTCACGGCCCCCAACCAGGAATTCTACACTTATATTCGTATGTATATAGTTTTCCCATGTTATCTAGTACTGAGCATAATTTCGAAAAAGGAAAGTGTAACTAAATGAATTGATTTACTTAATGTTTCTCTATAAATAAATGGTAGTATATCTTGCTGTTTCTGTGGATAGTGTAACGGAGTTGTTAGGTGTTGAAATACCATACCTGGTTTTCTGGAGTCTGCTCTTCACAATCCCTAGTTAGGCGTTTAAGTATTGTTGAAGCTAATATTTTAGACACTATATTAGTTGAACTGATTGCTCTGCGATTGTAACAAGAGGCCAGTCAGTGACTGAGACCAGTCAGATGAGAATACGCCTAGTTCCCGAATTCTACCTAAGATCTCAGTCACACTAACTGCTAAAACTGGACCACCATCCTAAAGAATCTCATGGGTAAGTCTATCAGGACCCGATGCCCTCTTTCGCTTCAGATTCCTTATAGCTTCCTCAACTTCATTAAGAGTTGAAGGACGTACATCAACTTGGCACTCACGTTGACTAGAGATCATGGGTAACCAAAGTGTGGCTGAAGGCCATTAGAACAGATCCCTGAAGAGTTCTGCCTATGGATCCAATCGCCCGGATCGAGAATGAATACTATGCCAATCTCTTTCAGAGTTAGTCTCACTAACAGTCAGATTTCCAATACCAGTTTCCTTGATTTGTTTGAATAGCTGTCTACTGTCATCTATCGCTGCTTTTTCCATCTCTTGCTTCCGCTACCCAGCCTTATTCGTGATCATCGCGTAGGCTTCCTACCAGCTTGCGCCTAAGCTGACTCTGCTCCTCATTAAGCTCAGAGCCAGACGGAATAAGTTTTCGAGCATCTGTCCTGAATATAAACTTTTTCTGCAGAATGAGTGGGAGTCTTCTATCGAGCTTCTCCATCGATGGCTGACGGCAAGATGGTCTAGATGGGTTCAGTTTTGAGTCGACTTTGGGAGTCACCATGTCAGGAGGTGTTTCTCCTTATAACTTAAGTCGGTATTTGTTAGATATAGGCAGTCGAGGTCGATAGCATGAACATTGGAAAAATCAGCTAACTGTCTCACAAGCAGACCGTAACTTGGAGCATCGCAAACGAATGTGAATAAATGAATATCATTTGAAAACAACTGCAAAAATCAACCCAGGACAGATTTGGTTTTAAAATCCTTGATCACTGCCTACGCCCCATAGTGGATCATAAGTGTAAGTAAGTTGGGGCAAATCAGTCATTTACGTGAAGCTTATTTCATATTTAATAATTAAAATCTATGTTATCTGGTTATCATCGTAAATATTTTATTTGATATCAGGTGAAAGTCTTCCGATTACAAAAATCCCACTGCCCAATGGACAATATGAGAATACCCCATTTGATTTCCGTTCATGCCCACGACATATTCTCTTCAGTGGAACATCTGTCATTCAGACACGTGGTGATATAAATAAGCGTGTATTAGCTGTAGTTATTCGAACGGGATTTATGACAACCAAAGGAGAACTTGTACGGTCTATCATGTTTCCAAAACCTATGAAGTTCAAATTTACTCAGGATGCCTATCAGTTTTTAGGAGCCCTTTGTGCTGTGGCACTTGTTGGTCTGTGTGTCTCTGTTTATCTCATGGTAAGTTCAATCGATGACAAGATTCCTCTTACTGCTTTAATTTATTACTGGTATATTTTAAAGAATAAGTTACCACACGACAAAACTGATTAAAAAACATTCGTTTAATGTTGTGATTATTTGGAATAAGTCACACAATACTCTTCAAATCGAGTAGTGTCAGTCAATATATCATTTCATGCATATCATTATCAAAATAAATATTCAGTAACGAACTAGTAGAGTTGAGTTACGGTTTAATCGATTTGATGAATGAATTTTAAGAATTATTTTGACACTTTGTATAAATACTAAAATATCTTCCGAAATGTAGTTTATTAAAAAAAAGGCTAATATATCTCTTTTTGTTCATTTGAAACCGATTCATTATACTTGAAAATTTAGGCAATATGTAATTGAAGATTGTACCATGCATTTCAACATCATCATATTGAAACCAAGTCAAATATATTCACGTCAGTTCTGTATATTTTTTCTGTCTACTGAACAATAAAGATATGATTTCACTTAGTATTACACATACAATTTTTCAATATATTTCTGGGTTGTGTGTGGAAGTGGAATACAGGAATCATGTTTTACTTTAGTTGGAAATTTTCATTTCGCTAGACAGTTATACTCATTATCGATGTCTACATTGAGAATTGAATTCAGTTCAAATTCAGTTCTGAATACCAACAATCGGGAAATGCGAACGCCTACAACTGATTACATATACAATATTTATTGGGATTCATTGTAATATATATTACACAGAGGATTATTTTACTTTCTACAATTTGTCAGAAGTAACTATTTTTAACTGTGAAAAGTTTGATGGTGGTATCTTGTTAACAGGGAATTTAGAATTGGAGATATCGTTTGACTTTAAATAAGAAATTTGTTTCTGTTCAGTAGTTGCTTTAATCTTCAAGCAAACAGCGTGAGATTAGCACGGTAACTATTTCTGACGCATATTAATTCCAATTACAAAACGTATTGGTATTTTCCATTTTCTTTTATGCTTAAATTTACTTATCATTATTTGAGTTGTTGTGAACGGAGTGTTATTTCAACACTGTAATTAATAAATACCTCATTACTATTTATCTCTTTTTATAAGGTTCAGTTTGTAAACAAATTTTGGTTTTTTAAATTTTAAATGTTGATTTCAACTAGTACTGGAATAACAAGGACTTGTACTACATTATTTTGAGACCTTTGGACTTAGTAACAATTGTGATACCACCTATTCTACCAGTCGCAATGAGTGTTGGAATCGTTTTTGCTCAACGACGACTTCGTAACCATGGTATATATTGTATAAATCCAAGCGTTATGAATGTTTGTGGTGTGATAAATCTTACTTGTTTCGATAAGGTTTGTGATGTGTATTACTTGCTGTATTCTTAAATCTGATATTTTAATTTTATTTATTGTATTGTTGGTTTAAATGAATAAAAGTGCAGTTTATTTGATAGAGATTGATTCATTCAGGAAGAACCTGACACACATGACACTTGTTGATGAATTGTAAATACTCCTAACTCCTACAGGAGATCAGTCGCCACTCGGATATCTCAGTGGTATTTTCTCTAACTATGAAACTTGGTGACACGGGATCGAATCCGCTAGGTAGCATCAACTCCCTCAAGATTGTAGGCACACCTTATTGACGAGAGCCAAATAACACGAAACCCAGGTCCAAGGTTTCCTATCGACCACTACCTCAAAATGAATTCGTGTTGGCAAACTGTGCAGTGTTCATTGGTAAATCGTTCTAAACTTTAGAACATGTGAAATCTCTGAGAAAAAATTATATAAACTAACGGAGACGTAGTTATTTCTTGATCATATCATACAGTAATATAAATCTCATGGAAATATTTATTTGTGATACTTTTAAAAAAGGTATCAAACTATTTTTCAATTGTTATATAATGCTTTCAGTTCCATATTAAGAATATTAGAATCTACCAAAATGCCAAGATTTTATTAGTTTTCTTCTCTCGAATGCATAAAATTAAGTTTATCGGGTACGATAAACTATCCTATTTAGAATGTTATGATATGAATTCTTTACTTCTTTGAAATCTATTTCTTCACTGGTTACTTATCTCTTCCTATAGAAATTATGACGTTTTTAAAACTCTGCATTTTACATTTGTCATTTGTATTGATTAACATGATTAGTTAAACTGGCGGCGGTCTGTTGATGGTATCACTACTAAAACTCTCGGTGCACTTATAACATAATGAATGTTTTCTTGTGATTGACTGTGTTGTTGTACCCGCTTATTTTCAAATGAACACAGCTATATCTGTACTGATAGTTGTTTCACTGCTGAGCTTGTACCTTAAAGATGGTTAAATTTAAAAATAGCAGTTAGTGTTTCATTTAAAAGTCGCTGTTTATGGTTATGCATCTGTTTCACACAAGGAAAAAAGTGTTTGGTACAACTTGCATTATTGCCTTAAATTTGTCCACTGGAGAAAAGTTTATTCATACTTAGTCTAGTTATTCTTAAATAAAAAGTATATTTGAAACAGACTAACTAACTAACTAAACAACATTAGAGTTGATTCAACTTTGCCCAATTTTTTGCAAAATATTTACAGTATCGATTTTCGTAGTAATTTTCAGTTGCCAATTTTTCCGAGGAACTATGTATATCTTTTAATAATTGCTCATTTATTGCTCTTCGTTCTCTTTTATTGTGTGAGATTAGACTGGCACTCTAACTGAAGACGGATTAGATCTATGGGGTGTAATACCAAACAAAGATGGGGTTCTTGGAAAGCCTGAGTTTGAACCATCAAAGTTAGGCCATGGGCCTTTGATTGAATGCATGGCTACTTGTCATTCATTAACTCGAATTGATGGCGTTCTATCAGGTGACCCACTGGATGTAAAAATGTTTGAGCT